ACTAACACACATTATTCTTCAAGTTACATAGATTTCCTATCCTAGTGCTATCTGGTAGCCATTATGTGCAAACTTGATTATGTCTGTCTGAAATACATTGATAACTAAAAATTAAATAGCAGTTGTTTTGTTTCTGCTACAATCAAGTGTCCATGAAATATGCGATGTTGCAGTTCCCACAAGGTAGACAATCATTAAATATAAACTTTTTTTTTTTACACAGATAACCTAATTAGATTTGGAATGTTCCCACTTCGTAAATTTTCATAGATAGTCAAGAATCACCTTCCTCTTATTCTAACCAAGATAACAGAAATTGCTAATTATGGCGGAAACTCTTACCTACGTGCACCAGGTTTCGTACGGAAAGAGCGATACGCCCGAACTACGCAGAAACTGTACAGTGGGTGTGTGTATTGATGTACAAAAATAATAGCATATATTTACTTTCTTGAATAAGTAAAACAACATATGTACATCTGTTGGGACTGCAGAACCAAGCCTTGATTTGAGAATGACCCGAAGCCTACCGCTCAACTTTGGTATGGGTAAATGAATTTTCTAAAACATTCGGTTTTCCAAATATTTCGTGAAATAAAAAATAATTTTCACTACATTAGAAGTGACTACCGTTAAACCTAAGCAGCTTCATGGTCTCCTAATATTGTGCTCCACTTCTTTCCTTCTAATATTTTATTTCTGTTCATTACAAACTGTACAACCTTCTACTGTACTATCTATTTCTTCTAGTCTCCAAACTGATTTCGTGACTATAGTATAATCCTACTGTCTTTTAAATAAATTTTTAATTATTTTCAAACTATTTTACAAACAAATTACAAGCCCTCCTGATAATATACTCTGCTATAGTGTATTGTTTTCTTACCTATTTAAAAGTTACATTTTATAAGATCATTTTTGCAGTTTCAGCTTTTTTGTTTAACAGAGTATCTTCTAATGAACTTTTCTATCTCTTTAGCTCTTCTTTAGTAGAGCTATTTCTACTTTAAAACATTTACTTTTTTACACAAGAAATACAATCATTGTTTAAATGTCAAGTGAAAATATTAACACAGAGTATTCAACTCATTAGAGGTTTAGTTTTCTAGTCAGTTTGTTACATAGCAGTCTTCATTAATTTGTTACTTTTATTATTTTTTGATTCAGACAAATATAATCTAGCCAGACATTTTTATAGGTGGCTATAATAGATAATATTTCTTAAAAATCCAAGACTACAATGCACTATATATAGCAGTAAAGTGTCTGGTTAAATACTTATACATATATGTACATAAGTTGAAATACCAGTCAACTGACAGGGAATGTTAAAACTTAATTAAAACAATGAAAGTTTAACAGCAATCATATATTTCAAAGTAATAACTTGAACATAAACTATGTCTCAAAATTTAAAAATTATAACAAAGTTTCTTCATAAACAACATTTGCAGTTTACTTTCCACCTACCAACAAATAAAGATTTTGAGGTGATCCCACCCTTGAACACCTAGATCTCACTGACCATGAGAAAGGCATGGTTGTTTGAGTAACAATCCAGCAACTTTCATACTTTGACCTTGAATCCCTTTAGAATATTCAACATTGTCTAAAGTGTTAACCTGCCAAGACCGTTTGAGATTGACTCAATAGGCTGGAAGTAATTAACCAACAGGCTTTACAAAATAAGTTCAATTTTAACCCCTTTAGGACATTCACCATAGTTCATAGTATTTACATACACATTTTGGTTAAGATTGGCCCAATGGGCTTGGAGGAGTTAGGGCGCAAACAAACATACATAGAACTGTGTGTGTGTGTGTGTGTGTGTGTAAGTTAAAAATAATTAATATCCAAATAAATGTTACTACATTTACTATTTTATGAACACAAATTTTAGATGAATTGGGCCAAGTATAACAAACTCAAAGTAGGCTTAAATCAAGTAATGTTTCATATTCTTATTTCCATAAAAATGTTTAGCAACTTATTCTGTAAGAATTCATGTACTGTAAGAGTACTGTAAGGTAGACTATATAATCCAGGACCTACCTATGTATTTTGTATTATTTATAAAGAACTGTATAACTGACAAACAAGAGTACTGTAAGGTAGACAACATGGTCCAGCATCTATCTACATACATGTACATTCTTGCAGCTGATATTTCATTATGATTGTTTTGTTTTTTTGTAACATCATGTGTGCTACTACTTTTGTTTGGATATACTTGGACACTAGCGACAAACAAAGCAGGTTTCTGAAGCTGTTTAAACACGTTTTTCCTGTACAGAACAATTTAATCTCAATAAGTACAGTAATAAGTTATGGCAAAGTCTTACATGTTACGATTATTAACACTTCCACATAAAAAAGCTCAGTAGTAACCACTCCACTTAAATGCTTGTATCTGAACCACTGAAGGTTATTGCAGGTTGCTTGTTATTCAGAGATTTTATCTTCAGTGCTTATACGCTGTTTACGTGGCAACAATCCAACTCAGTGGATTAAGCCACAACAGCCAAATTCATTTCACCATTACAATGACATCCCCAAAAGATTTATAATGCATAGAATTACTCTGCTGTTTTTGTTATACATTTAGCCAACCTATACTTGACAATTTAACTAATATTTCAATTTGCAAGTCAATATGATTATAATACATGAAGAGATCTAGCAGAAACTGATTCAGTTCATCAGCCAAGAACCTGAACATTTATCTTCACCACACAAGCACAACCTGTTAAATAATTTAACAAAAACTAAAATTCTTAAAGAACTCTCACTAATACTCATCAAGAATTCAGTAGTTTTTTAATATCCAAGCTACTATTATCCAGATCTGAGAGCAAGAAAGTTCTTGGTTCACAACAAAAATTCTTAAATGCAGAATTCAGCTTAGTATACAGTTTACTTCACCATCATTTAAAAGCTAAATACAACTTAAAACCACACAATTAAAAACAACCTAACTGAATATAGAATTAGCAATTAGATCAATACTAAGCAAGTTATTATAACTTAAAGTTAATGCTGCTACTTAAAAAATAAAACAGTAAAATGAAGCTAACTTAAGGAAAAGCATGTTTTACAGAGTGTACTGCAGAAGAGCTCATATCTTAAAGCTTATGTTGTCAGAGTTTAACGTGCAAGTTCATAATGTCACACATACACAGTTAATTAGTAATACATTCATGGACATCAACTCCTCAACCCAGTACCCTCTCTAGATTTATCTTTTATTAATTTACAAAATGGAAGGTACGCCCACGTCATAACTTCTAACAGAATAGTTATACAATTATGAAACAAAACATACTTTTAGTAAAAAATTCTTGTGTTCACGATTTGATAAAACTTTAATACTTAACTTGTAGAATAAGATTTAGAATAAAGCACTAAAGTAGTTCCTAAATGAACCTCGCAGATTTAATGCTTTAGGCTTAACCTAATCCAACAGCATACTATGTGACTGAGTCATACCCACAGAGTACTTAAGGCACAAGCAGAGATTTGGATGTTGGTAAGGTTACTTTGCATGGTAATTAAGCCCAATTACATCACAGCTTCAAAACAAACAGGGAATGTGACAATATTATTTCCTCAGAGCACATGTAACCTTTTCACAGTGAATATCCTACCTATAAAAAAATAAGACTGTTTCTTTCTAATGATTTACCTTTTACAATGTGCTTCTTCCAATTAGCATCAATTACAGCGTCTGTAATGTTGTAGAAGATTGTTTACAAGTCGGAACAAGTACAAAAACTCTAAAAAGCCTAATGCTCAAAAACGTCTGTCTAACAACAGTTCCAAAAATGACACCACTTGTAAAGTTAACATAAAGTTAAAACATAACAAGAAGGTAATGAAACAAGTAAATTCAAATCTTTCAATCAAAAAACTTCTACATATTAACAATAAAGTAAAGATAGTAGGGATCACCTAATCCTATCATCATGATCTACCCACAAGTATTCAGTTATAGTAGATAATGTAGTAAAGATAGTAGGGATCATCTAATCCCATCATTATGATTTACTACAAGTATTCACTTATAGAAGATAATGTAGTAAAGATAGTAGGGATCGCCTAATCTCATCATCATAATCTACCCACAAGTATTCAGTTATAGAAGATAATGTAGTAAAGATAGTAGGGATCATCTAATCCCATCATCATGATCTACCCACAAGTATTCAGTTATAGTATATAATGTAATAAAGATAGTAGGGATCATCTAGTCCCATAATCATGACCACGTTTCTAAAGTCAGAAAAGTATAATCGAATATACTTGGTAGCGTTCTTGAGCAAAAATAATGAAATTAACACACAGTAACAGCATGCAACTTAATAATCAGAGTGCAACATAATTACATTTAATTTTTAAACTAACATTATGTTTCATTCTTTTTGCAATATTTACTCACTGCTTTCTTTGTCCAAGTTTGTTTTAATTACATGTGTGTGTGTGTGTGTATGTACAGTACAGGAAAGAAAACAAGGGCTTGGAAAAAATTACAGAAAACGTGGATTTTTTAAACATAGTTGTAGAAAAAAGTTTTCTTGCACTCTCGTAAGCTTTTATAATTTTTTTAACTTATTAAACAGAAGATTATCACACTTATTATAAACTGTAAAACACACCATAAAAATTAATAATCTAGCCAAGGTTCGATTTTGTTTAGCTTTCTGGATTTACACAACTACTGCTTTTCCTAATAAACAATTTTGAAATACAATATTTTAAATTCTTCCTTGCCACAAAGTAATATAACTTTCATGACTTTTTTTTTTCATTCTTTTTGCGTAAAACAGCAAGAAGTAACACTAACACAGGTATATTGCAATCATCATAAAATACGTAGTTAAAAGCCAGGCTGCTTGGCGCCCACAAAAAACAAAACAAACGATATATTTTCGGTTATACCTTTATGGTAAGAGATTCAAATCACAACCGAAGAAACACTGAGAGAATGAATTACATTCACTTACCGAACTGCAACTCTAACACTTGTATCGTCGGCCATATTTTACTATATCTCAAAAATTAGAATGACACAACACAGGTGTTTTACTTATCACGTTTCTATTTCGAACTGAGCCAACGTCAACCATTCTAACTCACAACCACCATTACCTTCTGACAACAACATACCCACGTTTCTACCAAACAAGTTACTGCATTAAGACTATATAACCTTCGCCTCATATGCCAAGGGAACGAATAGATCACGTGACTTTCTCTTATGCTAGTGATGTAGCTAGTCTATTTTGTTTCAAAATAATTTTTAATTTAAAAGTTCTGACATTTTTAATAACAAAGTCTAAAGCATATGAGGTAAGTCAAAACGCAAATTCATAAAATACAGCTTAGTTTTAAAATTGTTCGACAATAAAAGATCCAAATGCCATCTGTCGTTATAAAGATTAACTAAACGTGAGGATAAAGTAAGTGAGTGAGTCTTTCGATGACATGGAACATGAAATTTATTGGGAACAATAACAGGAAAAAAAAAACTAGCGACATTTTCAACTCTACTATGATGATTTAAGTTCTTCTTATTTAGAATAGTTTACGTCAGCCTCTAGGATATTTAAAAATTAAACACATTTCGAATAAAATTTAGTTCATTCCAACTAAAACGAAATCAAGCCGTACAATGGACGTTATTTTAAATTTACTTCATTAGATACAAAGTATCTAACGAAAAATAAACAACAAAAACAGAACCGCATGTGCCTACTGAAACAAAATCTGGTATTAAAGGGAATTGGTGACATATTTAAAAAACACATTAAAGTCTCAAAATTAACCTGGCTCCTCAGGTCGTGGTAATTGAAAGGTTTTAAAGTTACTCCAGTGTTTGTTATTAATCTATCATGAAGCTGTGGAAAGGTTTGTTTTCTGAATTTCGCGCAAAGCTACACGAGGGCTATTTGTACTAGCCGTCACTAATTTAGCAATAACAGACTAAAGGGAAGGCAATGAATAGTGGGATTGATCGTCTAATTATAATGCTCCCATGGCTGAAAGGGTGAGCATGCTTGGTGTGATGAGGATTCGAACCTACGACCCTCAAGTGCCCTAACAACCTGGTTATGCTGGGTCCTGTGGAAGGAAAAGTTTGCTCCAGTCTGAATAGTAATATTATCTACTAACATAGTTTCTTATAATAGGAAATGCTCACTTTGAATTAGAAAACTAACGTTCCGTCTTAAGGTACACGAAAATAGTTACGATCCTTGTTACACATAGACAAAAAAAATAAAAAATCAATGAGGATATATGACTGTCAAAACTTCAAAAATGTTATATTCTTTACCATTAAAGGCTTTAAATGTGCTATACTGAAGTTGTTCAATAAATTTTAATTGATATATTGAAAATTTCCATCATAATTTTGTAATTGAATGATTTGTCTTGTTGCGAAGCGCAAAGCTATACAATGGGCTATCTGTACTCTGTTCATCATGGGTATCGAAACCCGAATTTTAGCATTGTAAACAAGCAGATAAGCTGACCCACTGAGAAGCTGTAGTTTGATGAATCATGTTATATATATTATAATTTATTTCGATGGCTATTGTTTCGAAATATTCTGCAAGTTGTTACACATATTAAATATGGATACCCATATTTTCTTAAAATAAATTTGCTTAATGATGTGTTTGATTAAGTACAAATAAAACAGTAGCACGAATCACTCTCAGAATTTTTAAAATGAACTGTTTTTATTTTGTAAACAATATAGTTTCTTATGAAAAATGACTTAATGAAAGGTATCAAATTATTATTGCAGAAAATTTCTGACAGTTTGAAACCATGAGTTTACGGCAACTTTGCAAATATATATAAAAAGCTATCAAAACTTCTTTATATAATGAAGGAAATTTTTGTACAAGATAATTCATTTGAACTAAACGCGACCCACAAAACATTTGCAGTAATTTTCATGTCATTCACTTACATTTTCCTTATTCTATCATTTTCATTCACGGCATTTAAACTTCGCTTTCTTGCAAGAATTATGTGTTAGATTAATAAATCCTGGTCTATTTGAAAAAATAATTTACGTGGTCAGACAAACAAACTTACATAGACGTAGCTTTATTTAATAACACTATACGTAAAGTAATGGTATTTATAATAGTGTACAGAGTTTGGTTTGAATTTTGTGCAAAGCTACTCGAGGGCTATATTGCGCTAGCCTTCCCTAATTTAGCAGTGACAGACTAGAGGGAAGGCAGCTAGTCATCACCACCCACTGCCACCTTTTGAGCTACTCTTTTACCAATAAATAGCGGGATTGAACGTCACATTATAATGCCCCATGGCTGAAAGGGTGAGCATGTTTTGTGGGATGGGGATTCGAACCCGCGACCCTCAGATTGCGAATCGAGCTTCCTAACTACCAATGTACAGAGTATGAAACATATATTTGTTACAGATTTCTTTTCAATTTCACCAAAGGTAAAATTGAAAGAAGAATTTGTGAGTAGAGGCTTAATATTTTCTTTGATTGGCCCTACCCTCTACTGTGGACTGCACTTTCGTCTATTAATGTTTTATCCAAATCACCATTAAAAGAAGTCTAACTGTATTTCTTTGATTTGCCAGCTCACGCTCTACTGATGAGCTTTTAATAAGCGAAACTACAGTCCACAGCAGAGGGTATGGCCAATCAAAAAAGCATTAGACCTCTATGTTACAGATTTTCCTTTCAATTTTTAAAAAGGTAAAATTAAAAATAAATCTTTAAAATATATAGGTAATCCTGAAATACTTGGTCCGACGTATAATGTGAAATAATTATTTAGGCACGAGCTTTACCACTATTCAAGTACCTATATTGTTTTAGGTTGGGTTATTGGTGACTGAAAAAGACTTAAGAACCTCATTACAAAATGATAAAAACGATGATCGCTTTGTATCAAGACTTATTGAGCCTACGTGCTTTTCTGACATCATTAAAAAACCTCATTAATACAGTATGAAACAGTTATGAGCATTCAGTGTATGACAGTTTTACGAGTTGAAACAAAGAAATTCACAAAAACGAAGAATGAAACCCGAAGTAAAAAAAAAAGCAGCTAAAAGGTGTTTATAGCAGACTATGAAACGAACCGAAGCTAAGTTATTGCAAAGTAAAGTAAACGTAAGGTTGTAATGAAGGCAAACTTCACTGAATATACAGAAACGTCTGAATGCGTGTTCACAAAATGATAAGCGTATGGTTTTGAACGATTGCGCATACGTATTTTAGACCTAAAAAGTCGAGAAAGCCCATGGAAATTGTGTTTAGTATAATGTTCATTTTTCTTAGAAAATTACCCGCGGGATGAGTGTTGTTTGTGTGAAATACTTTGCAAATAAAAAAAAAATAAAGTTGAAATCGAAGCTAGTCGTTAATTATGACGACACTGTTCCATCTTATAGCATACTTGTTGCATTGAAAAGTTTGTCTAAAAAAAATAGGTAAGGTGATTCTGAATGGAAAGCCAAAATGCAACCCCGACTCCTTTCTAACGATAAGAGATTTGTAGAGTTTGCTCGAGAAATTTGCGAGAAAAGTTCCGAGCAGACAAACGCAAGCCTATTATTAATATAGATTTTTGCTAAAAGTCTAATAGTTTTGATGAAAAACATCAAAAATACAGATGTAACATGGTTTTCCGATTTTATAACTAATTATTAATCACCTTATGATGGTACTCTGAAAAATAATTTTAGTCATAATGTTGTTTCATCATTTCAGTTTCAGTCAAAGATTTTGGTTTTCTCTGTTCTATACCTTCTGTTAAAAATAAGGCGGTTGAAATTAGTATTGTTACGACAGCGGAAGTCACATGACGCTGGTAATACTTTATGAGTTTCTAGAAGGATCATAACTTTTCTTGGCAACTCTAGTCTTTTCCAGGCGCCCTCTGTTTTAATATATAAGTCCGGCAAATAAAGCGGAGATGATAGCAGATTGAAGAAAGATATAGAGACAGATAATTGAGTCAAGTGAGCGGTAGTGACCGTAAGTAAAGTGCGTGAATCGTTGTAAATTATAGCGTGTGTTTAAGTTAAAGTAACTGTCGAAATTCTGTGTATTGCAAAGTTGTATCGAGAAAAAATAAACTAGTTTTATTTAAGAAAGGACTTATATCGCTGAAGTTCCTCGGGAAGAATCTTTATGGGAAATTATCAAACGAACAGAGACGTAACAGTATATTAAAGCTTTAGTAGGGACGTGCATAAAATAACCTTATCTAATTTGATTGAGGATTGTTCTAATAGTTTGGAAACAGGTTGCTCAAACTGTAATTAAAGCTACAAGAAGGATTGAAAAAACATGTTAAAAGAAGTAGATTACTTTTTTTCCTGATATCTCTTTTACTTTTAAATATTTTAAAAAAAGAAGCGCGTTAAATGTGCAGTAAGTTATTTGAAAAATTGTTCCGCTTATGCTAATACTATTGTTATGATTTATTTAAGAACCGTTTTCGTTATAGTAGTAGCTCCATTGTTACGATTTATTTAGAAGTTGTTTCTGTTATGCAGCTATATTATTACGATGTATTTAAAAACTGTTTTCGTTCTATTAGATTTATTGTTATGGTCTATTTAAAATTTTTTTTTGATATGCTAGCTCTATTGTTATGACTTATTTGCGGTTTTTCGCTATATAAAGTTTATTGTTATGTTTTATTTAAAAAAGGTTTTTGTTACGATAGGTTTATTGTTACGATTTCTATTCATTTGAAGTTTGATAAAGCAGCGACAGAAAACAAAGGTAAATGATTTGTACATCCAGAGTTATGTCAAAGAACAACTGATGTATTGTCTCATGCACAGATTTTGAAGGAATTTCTATTTCACATTAGAAAGCGCGTTAAAGAAACCTTCAGAAAAGGTTTATATAGGATAAGGTTTAACATATACCCCTTCCCTCCCCTTGTGATTAAACCAGTACGTTCTTCTGTCAACATTTTCGGCATGCAATATTAAGCTGGGACTTGTTAATTTGCAATGTAATATATTTCGAGAACTAGATATAAAAGTCTACAATAGGTAGTTTTAGAATCGAAAGCTTACTTTGTTTTGTTTCAAAATTTAAGACAAGCTACAAGCTCTTAAAATTGACAGTCAAAACGTTTGGAAATCAAGGACCAGTTCAATAATGACTCAGCACAGTTTTATTAAAATTGCTATCGTTATGTAAACATTTTAGTCAGTGCTTATTATATAATGTTGTTACGACAGCGGAAGTCACGTGACCTAGTAACACGTCATGAGCTTCTAGAAAATTCCTGTCCCTTCGTGAAGCCTCGAGTGTTTACTAGATATGTGGTATTCTTGTATATAAGACCGCCAAGAAATGACGGCAACAATGTAATTGAATTGCAGACAGAGATAAAGACGACAGTTGAGTCAAGTGCATGAATCGTTCGTTCGTTGTGAATTATAGCGTTTGTTTAATTTATAGCGTGACTGTGGAAATTCAGTGAATTGCAAAGTTGTATTGAGAAAGAATAAACTAGTTTTATTAAAGAAAGGACCTGTATCGCTAAAGTTTCTTTGGAAATAATTTTTTTACGGAAAATTAACAAACGAACAGAGACGTAACAATGTTTTAGTCGGTGATTATTGTAGAATGTTTTAGTTGGTGCTTATTATAGAATGTTTTATTCGGTGCTTATTATATACTGTTTTAGTCGGAGATTACTGTAGAATGTTTTAGTCGGTGATTATTATACAATGTTTTAGTCAGTGGTTACTATATAACGTTTTAGTCGGTGATTATTGTAGAATGTTTTAGTCGGTGCATATTATTGTTACGTATCTGCTTGTTTGCTAATTTCCCGTAGAAATTCTTTCCGAGAAACTTCAGCGATACAAGTCCTTTCTTAATTAAAACTAGTTTATTCTTTCTCAATACAACTTTGCAATACACAGAATTTCCACAGTTAATACGTTTGCAATCTCGATAACAAAACACACACTTTATATTACCAATCCTACCGCTCGCTTGACTCAATTATCTGTCTCTATATCTGTCTATCTGCAATCATCTTTGCGCTTTATTTGCCAGGCTTATATACTAAAATAGAGGGCGCCTAGAAAAGATTAGAGTTGCCAGGAAAAGTCAAGATCCTTCGAGAATCTCATGATGTGTTACTAGCGTCACGTGACTTCCGCTGTCGTAACACTATATAACGTTTTGGTCGGTAATTATTGTAGAATGTTTTAGTCGGTGCTTATTATAGAATGTTTTAGTTGGTGCTTATTATATAATGTTTTAGTCAGTGATTATTGTAGAATGTTTTAGTCAGTGCTTATTATATAACATTTTGGTCAGAATCCTAGAGTCAGACGTATAGAACTGAAAACTTCGATTTCAAAGATTAGATCAGAGTTGGAACCTAGAACTAAATAACCTACGTAGTCCATGTTTTTTATCTAGCTGATACAGCACGTGCGCATAAGAATCGTGCACCCGCACGTTCTATGAGGGCAGGTTGTCACTTGGTAACTCACAGAAGGTACTCTTAACCATATAATATGGCTACTAGTGTATCGTCAGCGAGTTAATTGTGTTGCAAAATGGTTATTGTTATTACCAAGGTTATAAGTAAAACTAAGAAAAACACTTTTAGCCAAGGTAGCGTAATTCAATCATGTGCATTTAGATTTGCATAAAGTGAAGGCAAGAGAGAGCTGTGCCTTTCCAACAACGTTAGTCAGTCAAATTGACAATATCATGGTTTTGTGGAAATTTTGTTTTTGCTCCGCGGACTTTTCTCAAGTGTTTTGGTGGCTTGTTACTCTGCAATTGGTTTGATTACTACTCAACAATGTATGTAAAGTGCTTATAAAGTTTTGTTTGTTTGGAGTGTGTTTAAGATTTTAATTTGTACTGCACATCTGGTCCATTCATACTATAAGTACTACCGTACTTATGATGAAGATGCGAGCCGATGTGGTTAGCGTGTTGGACTGTGAACTAAACTTAATAAGAGAGTTAAGTAATCCTTCAATTTTAAATTTTCAAAAGGTGGTTGCTATGGCAACGTCATCAAATTAATTTGAACTGTTTTCGTTATAATTTTCTTAGACAAAGTAATAATGGTAAAAAAAAATCCAACATATGGATGCTTTGTAATCATCTCTGCGTCACTTTACCTCATCCCCGTAGGTTAGAAGTTTACGATTCTCCCACGTGTGAGGGCGTTGACTTACGGTCCAGTAATCCCTTCGTTTTTAGTGTTCGCCAACTCAACGTGTAGGTTCATCAACATGGGATATCAATAATAAATCAACCACCGATATTAAGTTAGCTAAGTAGTTAATGTATCATTAAAGAAAAACAAAAAAAAAGATGTCATGAACAATGTAATTAAACAAAAATAATTTATGAACTTTGAGCACTTCGAACCCAAGAATTCTTATTAAAAAGGATCGAAATGAGTACTACATATAAAGTTTAAATAATTACATTTGGGTTATTTTCTCATCCGTAAAGTGCACGGAAATGTTTTCTTAGAATATCAGCTATTGAAGAATTTAATCTTTCAGCTTTAGTTTTTTACATATTACCTGTAGGATTTTGTTTGTTTATTTGATTTCGCACAAAACTATTGTAGGGCTATCTGCACTTGTCGGTCCTCATTTTGAAGTAATATATTAGAGAAAATATTTGAGAAATGGGAGAATTTATAGATTTTGGCAATAAAGTTTGAAAAACAAAACTACTTATACTTTCCAGATAAAAATTAAAAACATTTTATTTCAGCCAATCTTTCGCCATTGCGGTTTCATCCGGGTTAGTAGTACATGAATATGCACACATCAAATAGTTCTTGTATTGTTGATTGTAAATTGATCTTTGTGATATAATACAGTGTAATAGTTGAAGGTGAATGGTATTAAATTGTTTTTTTTTGGATCTAATATATTGAATTAAATATTTCCAGTGTCTTAATGTCTGTATTCAACTCTGGATGATAATGGTGACACATTCCACCTGAGCGTCCATCAACCAGGCCATCGCAGGTTAACTCACACGTATTATATAAGTTTTTGTTGGGTAGACTACAGCAAGTTTGGGGTTAATTGTCTATTACCATATACTTTACTTTCCTCTGTATAATTAGGACATTAATCACAGTCTCCAGGAGTGATTTCACTTCAAATCTGTTACTATACCGGTGGTTTCAGCTAGCCCTCTTGAACGGGAATAATCAAAGAGTCAATATTGACTTTCATAAGCTAGGTGACGTTGTTAACTGATATTCAAAATAACTTATAAGATTTTCCCTTTTCCTAAAATGTGAAACTACTACACTACCAGCTGGCGCATTCTTTTCACTTAATTAAAGCCAGTAGAAGAAGCCACGTGGGGAATGAGACGTCAGGAAGAAGTGACTTGAAGGTGCTTTCTGTCTTGGTGTAGATTAGATTAAAAAAAAAGGAAATCTGCTGGCTTTGTCATGGGTTCTGTAAAATCTAAAGCCATTCAGCCAACTACTTTAGATTTAACTGAATATCTGAAAGAACAGGAAAGAAATGTCAAGTCAACAAAAGAAAAACAGAATTCATCACATTCGCCTGTTAACGAATTTCTTTTAAATACCTCACTCCATGGAGTGAGTCACATAGCAAGGTCAAGTTCATGGTGCCACCGTTTGGTGTGGTCAATGGTTGTGTCTGTGTGCCTAGTTGGATTCATCGTCCAGGTGTTCATGGTGATCGAAAATACAGTAACAAGTCCAAGGATGTACACTTTCGTCACTGAACAGGAAAATATTCTCATCACCCCTGACAAAAACTTGCCCCTTTATCCAGCGGTCACACTTTGTAGTCACTCACCCTTCAAAAGACGTAAGTAGGAGCTATATTTGTGGTCACGTTATGTAGTCATTCATCTTTCAAAGGATGTCAGTAGGAGCTATATTTGTGGTCACGTAGTGTAGTCATTCATCTTTCAAAAGGTATAGGTAGGAGTTATACTTGTAGTCACGTTGTGTAGTCATTCATCTTTCAAAAGGTAGGGGTAGGAGTTATACTTGTAGTCACGATGTATAGTCATTCATCTTTCAAAAGGTGTCAATAAGAATTACACTTGTGGTCACGTTTTGTAGTCTTCTACAAAAGGTTTAAGTAGAAGCTAAACTTGTAGTCACGTTGTGTAGTCACTCACCTTTTAAAAGGTGAAAGTAGGAGCTAAACTTGCAATCACGTTAAATAGTCACTCATCCTTCAAAAGGTTTAAGCCCGTTATAGTAAACAAATAATTACTGCGATTCATTAACATGGATTATAATATTACTGAAAGAAGTGTTTAGTGTTAACCTAATTAGTTAACATGGATTAAAATATTAGTGAAAGGAGCGTTAAACTAAATTAGTTAACATGGGTTATACTATTACTGAAAGAAATGTTTAGTGTTAACTTAAATTAGTTAACATGGGTTATACTATTACTGAAAGAAATGTTTAGTGTTAACTTAAATTAGTTAACATGGGTTATAAAATTACTAAAAGAAGTGTTTAGTGTTAACCTAAATTAGTTAACATGAGTTATAATATTACTGAAAGAAATGTTTAGTGTTAACTTAAATTAGTTAACATGGGTTATAATATTAGTAAAATAAGTTTGGTGTTAACCTAAATTAGTTAACACGGGTTATAATATTACTGAAAGAAGTTTAGTGTTAACCTAAATTAGTTAACACGGGTTATAATATTACTGAAAGAAGTTTAGTGTTAACCTAAATTAGTTAACACGGGTTATAACATTAGTGAAAAAAGCGTTTAGCGTTAAACTAAATTAGTTACCATGGGTTATAATATTAGTGAAAGAAGTTTAGCGTCAAACTAAATTAGTTAACATTGGTTATAATATTACTGAAAAAGTGTTTAGTGTTAACCTAATTAGTTAACATGGATTATAATATTAGTGAAAGGAGCGTTAAATTAAATTAGTTAACATGGGTTATAATATTACTGAAAGAAGTTTAGCGTTAACCTAAATTAGTTAACATGGGTTATAATATTACTGAAAGAAATGTTTAGTGTTAACTTAAATTAGTTAACATGGGTTATAATATTAATGAAAGAAGTTTAGTGTTAACCTAAATTAGTTAACATGGGTTATAATATTACTGAAAGGAGTGTTTAGTGTTAACATAGGTTTGTAAGATTCATGAATATGTTTTAGGACTCAAAGAAAGCACACCAAGCAAGCATCTACCCAAACTATGGTCCCAGTGAGACAGCGGTAAACCTATGGACTCGCAACACAAAAATCCGTGGCTCGATTCCCCGCGGTTGACTCAGCATATAGCCCAGTGTGGCTTTGTTATAAATCAGACACTTTCTAATCTATCCTAAAATATAAATTCACTTGGACATCATTCTTTATCCTAAACTTAACGTGAAATGTAGGAAAGTCTGTCGTGATTTTAAGTTGTTAAATTGATAATTAAAGTATTTCTATACTGATCATTATAATGGGACACTGAAGAATGAGAATGTATCCACATGTTTCGTTATTCTAATACTGATCACTGTAACTGTGTAACACTAAAGAACGAGAACGTATCCACATGTTTCATTATTTTAATACTGATCGTCGTTCTTTAGTGTTACACAGTTACAGCGATCAGTGTTAAAATAATGGATACGTTCTCGTTCTTTAGTGTTACACAGTTACAGGAACGTATCCATTATTTTAACACTGATCGCTGTAACTGTGTAACACTAAAGAACGAGAACGTATCCATTATTTTAACACTGATCGATGTAACTGTGTAACACTAAAGAACGAGAACGTATCCATTATTTTAACACTGATCACTGTAACTGTGTAACACTAAAGAACGAGAACGTATCCATCATTTTAACACTGATCACTGTAACCGTGGAACACTAAAGAACGAGAACGTATCCACATGTTTCATTATTTTAACACTGATCACTGTAACCGTGGAACACTAAAGAACGAGAACGTATCCACATGTTTCATTATTTTAATACTGATCACTGTAACCGTGGAACACTAATGAACGAGAACTTATTCACGAGTCTCTGTGTCCTTGTTCTTGTAATATTTACCTATATTTGTTGTATAAAACAACAGCTCCTGTGTGTAGTATCTATATAAATATAATAGTACTATCTGTTGTACGTCATGTAACTACTTCGTAAGGTGTGGATGGATCTTCACCAAAATTGGTATGGGGGGTATTAGGTCCATACAAATTTTCAGTTTTGCATTTTGTGGTTTTATGGGCGTTTTTGTGTTTTTTACCACTATTTCGCCCCTGTTGATGGATCTTCACCAAATCTGGCATGAAGGTTTGTTGGGTCCATGGGGATATACATACAGATTTTTCAGCTTTGCGTTTTACCGTTTTTATGTGCGTTTTTTACAATTACATAAAAGGGAAGCAACTTTTCATGTCCTAAGAGTTCATTAATCATGAACTTACATGACTTCCGTCCAGGGGACGGGTACTCCAGCCAGTCTCAAATAACGTTTCAAATGCAGGATTGTTAAATGTTTCAGTGAAGTACCAGTACATCAAACAATGTTTCAAACACATGATTGTTAAATGTTCCAGTGAAGAGCCATTACTTTAAACAATGTTTCAAATTTAGGATTGTTAAATGTTTCAGTGAAGTACCAGTATCTGAAACAATGTTTCGAATTCAGGATTGTTAGATGTTTCAGTGAAGAGCCATTACTCTAAACAATGATTCAAATTTAGGATTGTTAAATGTTTCAGTGAAGTACCAGTATCTCAAACAATGTTTCGAATTCGTGATTGTTAGATGTTTCAGTGAAGAGCCATTACTTTAAACAATGTTTCAAATTTAGGATTGTTAAATGTTTCAGTGAAGTACCAGTATCTCAAACAATGTTTCGAATTCGGGATTGTTAGATGTTTCAGTGAAGTACCAGTATCTCAAACAATGTTTCGAATTCAGGATTGTTAAATGTTCCAGTGAAGAGCCATTACTTTAAACAATGTTTCAAATTTAGGATTGTTAAATGTTTCAGTGAAGTACCAGTATCTCAAACAATGTTTCGAATTCAGGATTGTTAGATGTTTCAGTGAAGTACCAGTATCTCAAACAATGTTTCGAATTCAGGATTGTTATATGTTTCAGTGAAGTACCACTACTACAAAGAACTCCCACCCATTTTTTTCTGGATACTCGAGAGTTGGAGATATACGATATGTATACTCTTAATGGTAATACAAATAACGTTATCGGAGCTGCACTATTTATGAAACCTATCGCACATAATACTTGGCGTTAATTATAGTGACATGTCAGTTTTTGTGATAAGAATCAAGATATCGGTAATGTACATTGTCACGAACACATTTCGTTTGACTGAAAGTTTACTTATTATAAATATATACCAAACACACCACTTAGTTAAACGAAACTTACAAATAGCTTTAAGTGCCAACCTTTTCAAAGGATGGATATTAAACCCCAACAAAAAACAAAACTTATGAACTGCTAGAAATAAAAGTAAGTGGGATTGATAAACATCTAGTTGGTCTAATAAACGTTTTAAAATAATGACTGAATTATGGAATTGGTTAGTCGGGCGTATGTCTCTTGACCTGAAACAGTTTTTAATGAACGTGTTAAAAATTAAGTTGAGGATTGCTAGTCGTGGCTATCTGTCTTATGTCATAGTCATGTGAAGATATGATCTTAAGTTTAATTTTACAAACTTGTTATATTATCTTGGTTCCATATCCTTGTAAACGAGTTTTGATTTCACACATATAAAAAGCAAACCATTGACGAAACAGTTTTAGTTTCACACGTGTAAAACTGAACCAATGATGTAACAGTTACTTTCTTACACGTAAAACCGAACCAGTGACGTAACAGTTTCATTTTCACACGTGTTAACTACGGTGTTCTTCTCCCGAAACGTCATCAGATCGCCCTAGGATTCCATTAAAATATTGCATCATTAATGGATTTTACGTGAAACTAAGACTTAGTTCTACGATTCAGTTTTCGGCTCACTAATGTTTGTGGTTTCCCATAGCAACAGTTCCTATGATCATTCACAGCGTATATTAAGAAACAGTCCCAAACCAACATTAGGAGAAAATGGATTGTAGCTAAGTCAAGTGGAATATCTGTCCCCAGCGTATATTAAGAAACAGTCCTCGACATACGTTAGGAGAAAATAGATTGAAGCTAAGTCAAATGAAATGTGTTCACAGCGTATATTAAGAAACAGTCCCCCCAACATACGCTAGGAGAAAATGGATTATAGCTAAGTCAAATGAAATGTGTTCACAGCGTATATTAAGAAACAGTCCCCCAACATACGCTAGGAGAAAATGGATTATAGCTAAGTCAAATGAAATGTGTTCACAGCGTATATTAAGAAACAGTCCCCCCAACATACGCTAGGAGAAAATAAGTTATAGCTAAGTCAAATGAAATATGTTCACAGCGTATATTAAGAAACAGTCCCCCCAACATACGCTAGGAGAAAATAAGTTATAGCTAAGTCAAATGAAATATGTTCACAGCATATATTAAGAAACAGTCCCCCCAACATACGTTAGGAGAAAATAGATTGAAGCTAAGTCAAATGAAATGTGTTCACAGCGTATATTAAGAAACAGTCCCCCCAACATACGCTAGGAGAAAATGGATTATAGCTAAGTCAAATGAAATGTGTTCACAGCGTATATTAAGAAACAGTCCCCCAACATACGTTAGGAGAAAATAGATTGAAGCTAAGTCAAATGAAACCTGAATGGTGATCGAATATTTTATCTCAAAATATTCTCCATGGTCAATAATCACTTGAAGTTTATTAGTTTAGTTGTTTGTTATTTATATCACAAAGAAAACTTGAGTCAGACAACTTCAATAAAAGAAACATTTTTTTTTTTTTGTTTATCACTTGGAGTAAGAGAAATATGTTTCGAGTGAATTTTAATAAAAGTAGGATATTTCTACATTGTGCTGAGGAGCTAGGTAATTTTATCATATGCTTTATGTTAGCCCTAATCTGCAACAAGATATATATATCCATGTGTTGTCCAAATTTTTGATTTATTTATATTATTTTCCCACAACCATAGTAGCAAAGTCAAGCACAGCCGAATCTCTGAAGTTTTTAGGACTTACTCTGGGTTATCCGTTTGTTGACCTGAATATCAAGGAATGGGTGGAGCTCTACGAAGCGTTAATTAATTCAACAGAAACAGAAAATGTTGATTTAGTAAAACGCTGGAGCCGTACTTCCTTGGATTTATCAGCTAAATCTGACAATTCAGGCTACATTAAAGATAAGATCATTCAATACAGCCTCAGGTAAGATTATTCAATACAGTACCAGGTAAAATCATTAGAGATAAGGTCATTCAATATAGTACCAGGTAAAACCATTAGAGATAAGATCATTCAATACAGCCTCAGGTAAGATTATTCAATACAGTACCAGGTAAAATCATTAGAGATAAGGTCATTCAATATAGTACCAGGTAAAACCATTACAGATAAGATCATTCAATACTGTACCAGGTAAGACCATTAGAGATTAAGATAATTCAATACTGTACCAGGTAAAACCATTAGAGATTAAGATCATTCAATATAGTACCAGGTAATATCATTAGAGATAAGATCATTCAATACAGTACCAGGTAAGATCATTAAAGATCATTCAATACAGTACCAGGTAAAACCATTAGAGATAAGATCATTCAATACAGTATCAGGTAAGAGCATTAGAGATTAAGATCATTCAATATAGTACCAGGTAAGATCATTAGAGATTAAGATCATTCAATACAGTACCAGGTAAAACCATTAGAGATAAGATCATTCAATATAGTACCAAGTAAAATTATTAGAGATAAGATCATTTAACATAGTGCCAGGTGAAACCATTCAACTAACTACCAGGTAAGATCTTTGTAAATTCGGACAAAAGTATAAACATAAAAAGAGAGAGAGAGAAATAAAGAAACGTTGAATACATTGATAACTTTGTGTAACCTATATATACATACACACACTTCTTGTGATAAACATTTTTTATCATATTTTAACTTGTGTCAACAATCAAACATTTTCTAAATGTAACAATAAAAAACTTCAGTTCAGGAACGTTCCTGAACATCGTATTCGAGCAAATTCTTATAGCTCATAAAACTTAATATTTCTACTTTAACACAAATAGAATAGGAGGAAGCATCCCTTAATAAATACAATAGTGTTTATATATATATATATAGCAGAATATAATGTCATAGTTACCCCGCCGTGATTTCTACAAATTGAGAGAGTAGATATCTAAGTTACTAGAGTTTTCGGAAAGGGAATATAGGGAATGGGGAATTGTTCATCACATGTGTGACAAGATGCAACGGTATATAGAAGATGCCTCCTAAAATTCTAAGTTATAGAATGTCACCATTAATGTAACAGATTTAGCATCTTATTTAAGTTGTTTCTAGTAAATAACATCTTTGAGTTACGGTATTCTATTCTTGGAATCAGGACCACAAGAGTGTCTTCGTTAGTTATTGATGATAAACGATAATTTCTTTTCCAGGTGTGAAGAGTTTTTTCTTCAGTGCAACTTTGCCAACGACATGGCTGACTGCTGTGTCCATTTTGAAACGGTCATTACAACGTCAGGTGTTTGTTTCACCTTCGCTCCTAACAAAACATGGCAGAATATGATGATTCGGTCCAACGTTTTCTCCGTGGACTTTAGACTCCCAGGAAATTCAGGTATTGAGTCACACATACGGAAATAATGATTCGAAAACCTTTGTACAAGTTAGCGAGAATACCTGTAGTTTCCTAAAAAAATTAAGTCACAAAATCAAGATTAAGACCAGTTATGATTAATAATCTATTGCAGTCAGTTGTACTGAATGTCTGAATATCAATGTCTGAGGTCATTGTATAAGTGCAATGAAGAAACTGACAAAATTGATATGATGTAAACAATATATATTACAACTAAATGATAAATATAAAATAAGTTCTCACTTATCTACCTACTTCAATGAATTGTTTTAAAAAGAAGGGAAATAGGTAATAAAAATATTTTGCAAAAATGAGCATTATGTAAGGATGGCAAAGCCAAGAAGTACAGAAACACGGTGGGGATGAACACACAAAACCATACAAAAATCAATAAATAAGTAGACAAATCTTTCCAAGAATAATTTTCATCTAAAACTAAATGTTGAATTCCTGTTAGTTGAATGAATTAGTGCTATACAGTCTTACAGTGCCTAATAACCATAAGCTTATAAGGTTGAATCAGTACTTACTGGGTATTTTATGTGGGGCCCGGCATGGCCAGGTGGTTAGGGCACTTGACTCGCAATCTGCGGGCCGCGGGTTCGAATCCCCGTCCCATCAAACATGCTCGCCCTTTCAGCAGTGGGGGCGTTATAATGTTACGATCAATACTACTATTCGTTGGT